ATAATAGTGAAATGCAAAAATAGGACCTCTTATGTTTTCTTCCCTTAATAGGACCAATTTGCTCCTATTCTTAAACCTGCGAAAATTACCATCCCAAATCTGCCCCTGCACCCATATAATCTTCTTTCTCTCCTATTTTATTCACAATCGATCGATAACTTCTCCAGCCTCAAAGCAAATCTGCCGATTCCACCACATCTCATCATCTCCCTTTAGATCTGCTGATTTCATCGCATGACGTCGACTACTCCACCACACGGTGCCTCCGCCGCTCCGCTGGCGTCGCTGCCCTTACCTTCGCTTTGGTGCCTTCGCCCTCCACCATCGCTCTGTTTATGTATCTCCGAATTCTCAGGTTTTTTCACTTTCTTCTTCTGGCCAGGTTTCTTCTTCTTCCTCTTTCTTTTCTTCTTCCTCTTCCTTCTCCTCCTCTTCCTCCAACTATTCGAATTTTTGGCTTTAAAGTTGATTTTTCTGAATTTTCCTTCATTCCTCTATTTTTTTTTTTAGTTTTGACATTATTTGATTTGTTGATGTTTGGACTTCTATTTCAATTTTCCGTTTCCTGATTTCTTGATTCTTTAAAAAAATCAACTTTCTAGATTTTGAATGATGGAAGACGATTTTGCCATGTTTATGGCAGATTTTTGGATGATGGCGTATGATTTTGCCAAGTTTTTGGCAAAAATGTACTTGACAAGCATATTATGGCAAAACACTCTCTGTAAATCGATTTTTAAATTTTTTGACATTCACTTCTTATTTCTTATTGAGATGAATTATTTAAAGTTATTGTTCTATTAAATTTTTGGTTTTCCGAAAATTTTGTTGTGGACTTTATATTTTGCCAAGATTATGGCAGTTTTGTATAAATTCGTCAAGATAAATCTGCCTTCTTTATGGCAAATCTGAAAATTTGTTTTGAAGGCAGATTTGAAAGTAATCTTCAAGGCCAAATCTTCCAACTTAATGCCATATTTTCGGTGCCGATGACGGAAGCGGCAGGTGGCACCGGTGACGGCGGTGGCAGGTGGAGGCGATGATGTCGGCAGGCGGCGGCGGTGACGGAGACTGCATGTGACATGGGTGGTTGAACTGTTACGGTTGGAGATGATGATGACCTGCAGTTGGAGACATGGACTTTTATTTTAATTAGAAATCTAAATAAAAACTTATTAGGGGCATTTATGTACAAATAGGGGCTTTTAAGTCCTACGAAACATGCATATGATTTTTGGTCCTATTTGTGCAATTAACTTTGTTATTAGTCCTATTTGAGTCATTAACTCAAGAATAAAACCTCACACATTTGTCTCATTTTGCTAGAAAGCAATCTTATCAACGATTGGACCAAATACGGGGATGGTGCATGGAATACACACGAAGAAACCCGACGAAAAAAGGTCAACCAAATGTATCCCAAAGAACAAACGAAGTCAAGGAAAACACACAAATAAAGTAAAAGCCGCTTGGCCTTTACATAAGCCGTCCGGATTTCACATGTTAGGCTTGTGTATGTTGTCTAACACTAAAGAAAAGCATCAGGAGCTCAAGAAGGCGAAAGCCGCCCGGCTTTCGTGGAAACAGGCAGACATTCACGACCGTAGTTTTATTCTAAAAAATAATTCCAAAAGCCGTCTGGCTTTCGCCCCCTGGAGCGAAGACCAGAATAAATTAAAACACGAAAGCCGTCCGGCTTTCATAGAAGCCGCCCGACTTTTCCAATTTTCATATTGAAATAGTCAACGGTCATCACTCATCACAATCATTCGGAGAAAGCACCAGAAGTTATTAAGAAGCTTGTCTTCTTGTCCGAAAATGGCCATTGAAGACCTCTTGTTTAAGAGTTTTGAAGCCCTTCCATAAAGATATCCCATATTCTACACATTTTACTTCCATGTATTCATCCCAAGAACACCCCCTTAATCTTGGGAGGAGTCCTTCATTTGGGGAAGCAATTGTCCACCATAGCTTTGGAGTTGTGGGACCATTTTCTTATGTATTCCATTCAATTTAAGCATTTCAATACTTGTAATTTCAATTCATTATGAATTGTAGTAGCTAATTTTCCATAGCCAAGGTTAGGAATGAAACTTTACACACTCTAGGTGTTTGATGTATGTTTTCAACCAAATTATTTCCTTTATATTTTAATGTGTATGACTACGGTGTACAGCGTATGATTATATGTTGGGTTTATTTGAGAAATTAACGTTGGATTATAAACCGTGCACTAACAGGTTTAGACATATGCATATTACGGATAGAAATATACCCATTTGATTTTTATAATGTCCTAATCATTGGTAGAGAAAGAGACATGAAAAGAGAGAATCTCGTTGGTAGTGTTGCTTCCCTTCAACACCGCCTAATCGATGGAGTTTCCCGCTGCCATTCATTTGCTTCACTGGTAGCCTGGACCATTTGCTACGAGAATCACTTAATGAGGAGAATCAGGGTATGGCTAGGGTTCTAAGTGTTTGAGAATCGCTAGATCTGTGACCGAATGACAAGGGCAAGGGTTAAATGATGGGAGTACGTATGACTCTGTATATTTGTAAGCGTCACTATCATATATATACTCATACTATTATGTTAAAAATGGTGACATATTAAGTGTCGTTAAAACTATAGCGATGTTATAATGTCACTAAAGAAATGTTAATCTAAGACAGTTTTCTAGTAGTGAGAAATCAATATTCCTACAATATACTGATTTCATGATTTTGTCATACCTACACCAACGTTGTTCATTCCATCATTCATATGTTCTTCTCACCAACAACTTTACATGTTCCTCCATCAAATTTGATGTATCATATCACACTCCACTTTTAGATATAGCTCATAGCGTCTCAAACTCAACAAACATTATAATCAAAGGTTTATTTTGAAAAATTGTCCAATTAATATCATTTTGAATATATAATTAAAGCATTGAGATCTATATGGACCAACAACATAAATACTATAGTCTGCCTTGTGTACAACACTGTAATGATGGTTATTGTTTGCATAAGTATTGAAAATAACTACCTTATTAGTGGTTTTGTTCATATGTTTGTACTTTTCTCAATTCCGGGTTGGTCATTTGTGTTCACGCTTCACTGTCTGTGTGATGACTATCATTGGAAAATTTTCATCATAATTTTTTCTCGATCTTTTTACATCAAGTCTAAATAGAAAAGAGTATTTTACCCATCAAAGTGTCATAATGTTCATGGCCTCACAGGGAATACAATACAAAAGTCATAGTATTAACATATCAAAATAAAGTAACCTCAATAGTTGCCCATCAAAATGTCATAATATTCACATGAAAAATAATGTCTAATTTTATTAAAATAAGGAAACTGTAATTTTATTTCAAGAAACTAAAATAGTTATAAACAGAAATATAAGCAAGTTGAGAGATTGTCTCAAAAGAAACTCCTTTATTTCCAAAGCATCAAACTTTTGATGTTAAGAGTGAATGACGAACTGAGTGATGAACACAAATTCAGTCAATGGCTCTAAAATAACTCTCTTAAATTGTGGAACACCCACTAAGAGTGTTTTCTTCACTTAAGAAACAAGAAGCAGAAAACCAATAATCAAACAAAAACAATACGGAGTAATTTAAAGAGCAATTATGCATTTGAGACATGGTAACTAAATGGCTAAACGTGATTGCTTGTGAGCCCATGCCTAGATGAAAAGGGCAGCTTACATTTCATTTTCAATAAGCAGTTATATCAAGCTATTATACAATATTGAGCAATGCAACTATATTAACTCTCCCCTAATCCGTTAACATGATATCATAATCTTATATAGTCCGTTTGGAAATCAAGAAATGCAAGGGAAAGGAAATATAGAATAACTAAAGGCAAAATTTGGAAGAAAAGGAAATGTGGGGGAAATTACAAATTTCATTGAAACTCGATATTGATTTTATATTTGTTTAAACTCTCCTTAATTTATTTCTATAATTTGTTAAAAAACATCCTAAACATATGTAAAAAGAATTAAAAACATTACCCCTAACATATTTTACCATATTTTAATCTCCCCTAATCCTTTAACATGAAAATCTAGCCTCTCTTCTCTATCAAACAGGGATTGATATTTTCAAATCTACACGGTGGGCTTTAACTTATGCACCATCATTCTTGTTAGACTTTGCCATCATATTACTAAGAGCATCATTAATGGGACATTGTTAACATCCTATAAATGTTGACACATGGCCATTAAAAGGGATTACATTTTTTAATGTGAACACCTTTTGATTGAAGATGCGCTAAATTGTACACTCTACTGTAGTAAAGTGTAACTGAATTCTCGAAATATTCTTTTTAGTAAGTCGATCTTCTTGTAAATTACATATTTTTGGTATGTTTAATACTATACGGAATACTACAAACATTGTTTAACAATATATTGCTATTTAAGATAATAGAGTGATTTGATAGAAATTTATTTATCAAATGACAACAACATCTAAACTTTAATTCCAAAAAAATTCGAGAGCGACTGTTGTCAAACGAAGAAATTAATTAAGGACATCTAAAAAGTAAAAAAAAAATTAAGGACGGAGTGCTATTCTTACACATAATAATTTATTTAAAAAGGCATGTTATTACTACCTTCGTCCTTATTTGATGGTCTTAGTTCATATTTATTTCATCAACACAAATCACTCTTACAGTCTTAATCACTTACTTTATATCAAAATTTTATCAAAATTGATTCAGGTTTTTGCGACTTTGTAAAATTTTTAGTATAGTTTCTGAATATGTAAATTCTATTTGCTACAAAAAAATTAAGTGCAGACAGAGATTCGCTTGCTTTATCGTCGGTCAAGCCTCGTAAACCGCAACAGGACCATCAAATTGGGATGGAGGGAGTATTATTTATGTTTAATTATATGTAATAATAAAATTCCACTTATTAGTTATTACCACGTAAATCCTCGATGAATGCGAGAATATAGGGATATTAATGACAATTAGTGCAATAAATGAACTAGGGGTGGGCGAATCGGTTTACGGTTCGGTTTTTATCGGTTTCGGTTCGGTTTCGGTTTATTCGGTTTGAGGAAAATAGTACCAAACTCAAACCAAAAGAATTTCGGTTTGGTTTCGGTTCGGTTTGGGAAAAATTCGGTTCGGTTCGGTTTGGTGTTCGGTTTGATGTTCGGTTTATAAACTTGAAAATGATTATGTCTTGTTTCATATGTTACAATCCACTTTGAGTAAAGAGTAATTTTGAATGTTTTGTTTTCATTGAAATTCCAACTAAATGAAATACTAGAACCAGCCTTCATCAAACCAATTGAACAACCTGCCTTCACCTGCTTAAACAACCTGCCAATTGAAATTCCAACTAAATGAAATACTAGAACCTAGCTTAAACAACCTGCCTTCACCTGCTAAACCAATTGAAACAAACTAAACCATAGACTCACACAGAAATAGAAATAGAAATATAAATACAATTTGCTATTGATATCGCCAACCATAATAAATACAAATATGTCGTATTAGCTAACTTTGTCATAATGAATGTTTGAAATGTGTAAAAGTTAAAATAATACGAGTATATGCTTAAATATGCATTTTCATGTCTAAATTTTTTATTTATATCTTAAAATGAAGAGTGAAGATAAATACAAAGTGTGTGTGTGTGTGTGTGTTGTTCGGTTCGGTTCGGTTTTGTTCGGTTTTGTTCGGTTTTTATCGGTTTCGGTTCGGTTCGGTTCGGTTTAATACGGTTTGAAAGAAATAGTACCAAACTAAAACCAAATTGCATACGGTTCGGTTTCGATTCGGTTTAGTTCGGTTTGGTACGGTTCGGTTCGGTTAAACCAAACCGTTATGCCCACCCCTAAAATGAACCCAAGGCTTCAATTAATGATGATAATGATAGGAGAGCTAGGGAGGACGCACTGCTCAACACACGCGCCTACCCGCGCACGTCTTCTGCTGGAATGTCACGTGACCTTTGACGTCCTTAAACCTCCCAATTAATTGTCTCTTTCACCCCCCACGTCTCCATCAAATCAATCCGTTGTTTCATTATACTCCGTACAATAGCATATACTGTGCACCGCGACCCACCGTATCAGGCCCACCTAAAAGTCATTTCTTTTCCTTTTTATTTGGACAGTCCTATACAGAAATGCAGAAGAGAAGAGGGAAATCGTAGTGGCAGAAGCAACAGTTTAGGGTTTCTTCCGCCTCACTGAAGCCTGCACAGAGTTGGAGAAAAGCTTAGGGAGAAATTAAAGGAAGGGTAGTTTTCTTCCTCTTCCATCAGCTTTTTACTACAGCTAATAAGTGTGTTTATGCATGGAAAAATATATATACAAGTATATGGCAATGGCATGAGCCTTTATTGTTTATTTATCTCACTTTTATGTTTATTCATGCGCAATATTTATTGTGATTATTCCCCATTTATGCAGCTTGGGCAGGTGGGCTTTTCATGGTCATTATTTTTATCAGATCTATCCTTTTTCTAGCTCTTTATCTTCTGCAGCTATGTATATATAGCTTTTCCAATGTCTTTGGGGCTTGTGTCTGTTCATCTTCTTTTCACCCTGTTATCGGTTTTCATACACGAACATAACTACACATAATGTATGTTTATTATATACTCCTAAGTCCTAATATGTGATTTTTGTTACATATTTTTGTGATATATATACGTAGTATGTGTGTGTGCGGTTTTATTTCAAAAAAAAAATGTGTGTGTACGGTGTTTGGGTTCATTCTATATTGGAATATAGATACATATAATAAAAGTTACTGTGAGAAAAGCTGTGTATGCATATATGCGGAATGTGTGGGTTTTTCTTCTTTGGGTAAAATAATGGGTTTTGGGTCGTAGCAAGATGAAGTCTTTTTCCTCTTTTGGTACTCTTTATCACATAGTGTATGTATATGTATATTGTACAGGGTTATTATGTATGGCCGGGTAATTAATTAATCTTTTTACCCGTTGGGTATTAGGAAGTAGTGTTTGGGTGTATATTTAGGGTAATTATAGACCGGAGAGTAATGGTCTTTTTCTTCTCAATATATGTATTCCTTTTATGGATCTGTAATATGGGGGTTTCCTTAGCGTGATATTTTTGTCTTCTTGGGTAAACGAAGGAATGGTTTATGAACTACTCCATTTTTGTGTTTATTCAAGAGCTGCGGTTTGTTTTCTGGGAAAAAGGAATTTGAAAGGTCGTCCACCGGAAAAATACAACCAAATATATACGCTAAAGTTTTCGTTCCATGTTTTTTGGCTCTTTGTTTTTTTGTTATGAAAATAAACTGTGTAGGGATCATTAACCTCAAATACTACGAATTATTTTTCTTTACCATATTACTACGGAGTACGCACTAAAAACGTTTGCGTACTTAACAATAAGATTATTATGTCTGTATTATCTAAAAAAAAGAGTAATTATTCTTATTTAATAAATTAAAATATGACAATCATATTTTAAACACTTTTATTCTTATTTCGAGAATTTTTCCATTTTTTTTGTAGCTTAACCCTCTTTGACCATTCACGCCTCTTTATCGATCTCTAAGCAATTTAATTTTCACCTCTTTGACCGTAGAGTCTAGACGTTCGTTCAATTTATACTCCGTATACTTTTGAGTTACTTTTAAAAATGGGTTTCTTTTTTTTTCTCTCGTTTTTCATAATCTATGAATGACATTGTATAAGATAATCTAAAACATTAATAACAGTATCATAGTATCTTGCTTCGGTTCTTATTTTTTTGTGTTTTTCTAAAGGTTTTTGTGTGTGTTTTAAATACTATGGAGACTGGAGTACGTAATTGTTAAAAATTTGCAGTATGCATTTTAGTAACTTAATTACTATACATTAAGATTTATTTCCCATGCATTACAAGTTATTATTCTAAAGCAATCCAATTGAAAATAAATAGAAATGATTCGTTTTTGGAAAAGATCCCTGATAAAATTGGCACTATGGTGCAAATTTAAAACAAATTTACAGCCTAATTCTAACCTTCCATATATGCATATATATTGGAAATTAGCTGGATGCAAATTCTAACTGGAAGTAGAAGAACTTCAAAGGATTCATTCCATATTACTAGTCCATTTCAAAGATGACAAAATCTCAAAGCTCAAAGCTTGGTTTCTACCTGTTTGGTTTGCTTTTTGCAGACAATTCAAGAAATGGAAACTTCAGAGCCTCAACTGCCTCCACCACCTCCTTTGCCCACGAATTTCACTCCAAAAACACTTGCAGTCGCCAAACGCGCCCCAATGGGACGCCGTGGGTTTGCTACTACTGGCGATAAGATTCAGCTTCTCACAAATCACTTCAGAGTGGGCCTGTCAAACACTGATGGGTGCTTCTTCCAGTACAGCGTAAGCTTCTTCATTTTTTTGTCAATAATTATCTGTCGTGTACACCTCCACTGCTAATTAACATTTGTTTACATTGAACTAGTCCATCTCTGGCGGATGATATATGTAGAAATTGAGTCAAAGAATTATATAATTTATAGTGTTTCTGGACTTGTCCATTTCAGGTTTCCCTAACATATGAGGATGGAAATGCAGTTGATGCAAAGGGTGTTGGGAGGAGAGTTATAGATCAAGTCTATGAAACGTATGGTTCGGAGCTCGCGGGAAAGCATCTGGCCTATGATGGCGATAAGACGTTGTTCACTCTTGGTGCATTACCAGGAAACAAGTTGGAATTTACAGTTGTGCTGGATGATATGATATCTAACAGGTATTCTTTGATTTATTCTATTATGCATTAATGTGTGAAAGTGGTTAAGATTCGTCAGCGTGTTTTTACTGAACAATTAAATTTTTTCCTGTCTTGGATAGAAACACTAATGGTGGAGATGGTAGCCCTGAAGGTGGTAGCCCAAATGATAAGGACAGGAAGAGATCAAAGAGGCAGCCAAGGTCCAAGACATACAATGTGGCGATAAGCTATGCAACTAGAATCCCAATGCAAGCCATTGCCGATGCTCTTCGGGGAAAGGAGTCTGAAAACTTCCAAGAGGCTGTCAGAGTGTTGGACATCATACTTCGGCAGCAGGCTGCTAAACAGTAAGAATTGTGATCCCCCCAACAAAAAAGAAATGGCTTTATTTGTGGTTGCTGAAGTCATGCATTTCATTTATTGAACAGAGTCAATTGAACTACATTCTCACATATTGTTATTACTTCCTGCTCGATTTGAAGAGGCACAACACATGCATGTTTTTTGTTCAACAAAGCCAAGACTGTAGTTTATTCCTCTTTTAATCCATCATCGTTTTTCCTTTCAACTATTGAACTTTGGCTCGGGTCTTCTTCCTGTTTGTAGCAATTTCTTTTCATTATTTGGATTTGGTTGTTTTCTTGCTTATTAGTCATTGTTTGCTTGTAGGGGCTGCCTTCTTGTGCGGCAATCTTTTTTTCATAATGAACCAAAGAACTTTGTTGACCTTGGTGGTGGAGTTGCTGGATGCCGTGGGTTTCATTCGAGTTTTCGTGCCACACAGGGAGGCCTATCATTGAACATTGGTTACTGTCTCATATATATTCTCCATTTTATGCCTTTTTTCTTTTGTGCTTTTTTTTTTCTTTTGAAAGGCATACCCATAACTTTTAGGTTCTTTTCAGATGTAACCACTACCATGACTGTAAAACCTGGGCCAGTAATTGATTTCTTGCTAGAAAACCAAAATGTCAAACATCCTCGTGATATTGATTGGTCAAGGGTAACTATCTATGATATATCTTACACAGAGTACCTATACATAGATATATGGGCCAATGCTTTATATTTTATCTGAAAGGTTTTCACCTGTTGTTTGCTGTTTTCTTGGCTACACAGGCTAAGAAGGCGCTGAAGAGCCTTAGGGTCACAGTTAAACCCTCAAATAGGGAACACAAAATAACTGGCTTTAGTGATAAGATTTGTTCAGAGCAAACGTAAGCTGCTACAATTACAAAAGAATTTCTTTAACATTTTGGCATAATACTCCGCTCCATCATTTGTTTTTTTTTTATTGTTTGGAATAAAATCATTTCAGGTTTACGTTGAAGAGAAATATGGGAAGGAAGGATGAGGGTGATGAAAGTCCTATTGAGATGACTGTTTATGACTATTTTGTCAATCACCGATCTATACACTTACAATATTCTGGGAACTTTCCATGCATCAATGTTGGGAAGCCTAAAAGGCCAACTTTCATTCCCATTGAGGTACATTATATATACTAGTATGTTATAAAGCTGCTATTCCTATCTCTGTGTAAATAGAATGCCACTGGTCAAACATTCATAACCATTTATTTGTCATTTTTGCTGATTCTGTTAAAGCTTTGCTCCCTGGTTTCTCTGC